TGAAGAGAGCTAAATGTTGGTTATTCCTACTAACCTCTTCAGCCTAGATCTTGATCTCGGCTGAAGAGAGCTAACTGTTGGTTATTCTTGCCAACCTTCTTCAGCCTAGATCCTTATCTCGGCTGAAGAGAGCTAAATGTTGGTTATTCCTACTAACCTCTTCAGCCTAGATCTTGATCTCGAGTGCTCAGCTTTTTTGATTGATCCCCTGAGCTCGCATACACGCTCAGGTTCAAAAACTCCATGTATCACATTGATAATGCCTTGAGGCGAGGCGTCGATTGGCATCTCATTGGGGTTATTATGGTCCTGGGGGGCTGGCTGCGTCCCTCCTTCAATGTATTTATCCAAGTGACCTACCGCCACCAACTCCTCCAGGTGCTGTCTCAATGGTGTGCAATTCTCAGTGCGGGGCCCCTTTTCTTTATGGAAGGTGCACCGCGATCTTTCGTCGTAGTCTTTCTGTGCTTTTCCCAGATTGGCTGGCCACTTGACGAAAGGCTCATCTTTTATTTCGCTCAGAATCCGATATATCGGTTTCTTGAACACCGTGGTTATGGCTGTGCGGATTCTCAACCATCTTTTATCCGGGTCTTCTCCGTTATCTCGTCTGCCACGTCCGTTTCTGTTCGGTCGATCTACCGTATTAACCTTTGCTGAGGTCTTCTTTTCTGGTACTACGGTTGCACTAGATTTCGCTTTTGCACGTGCGCCATCCTCTTCTACCCTGATGTGCTGATGCACTCTCTCCATCAGGGCCTCCATGGTGAGGGGTGGCGTCATGGTAATTGAATCCCTTAGTCGGTTCCCTACTGGTAGGCCTCTTTTATATTGCGCAATGGCTAGATTGGTGGGGCAGTCTCCAATCTGGTTGAATGTCTCCCAGTAGCGACTGTTGTAAGATCTGAGGGTCTCTTTTTCACCCATGTCGATGGAGAGTAACTGGTCTATCTCCACCGGGTTGTAGGATCTTAGGGTCTCTTTATCACCCATGTCGATGGAGAGTAGCTGATCGATCTCCACCGGGGTTTTAGTGCTTGTTCGGAACCTTGTCACGAAGGCTTCTGCCAATTGTGCCCAAGAGGCTATGCTGCCTTCTGGAAGTTTTTCGAACCAAGTCAAGCCTAGGTCGCCAAGGCTAGATGGGAAGAGTATGCACATTAAGGCCTCGTTTCACCTGTATACAGCCATGACCTGGCTCAAGTGGCTCAAGTGTGAGTAGGGATCCGTCTTCCCTTCATATGTAGTGAATTTGGGCTGAAGGAAGCCTGATGGTAGGGGCGCGTTTTCAATCGCCGGAACAAATGGCGAAGTCTGCAGCCTCGCTAATGCTTTGTCCGTTAGTTCGTAGGCAAGGCGCGGTATTGGCATTCCAACCTCGACGCTTCCATGCGTCCGAAGAGCCAACCGCTGTAAGGCAGAAACTCTGTGTGGATCCCGTGACCTGGCATCCTCCTTGCATCGTGCCTTTTCTTCGAGCACGGTTCGTAAGTCGGATGATCTGGGTAACTCCGTCTGTCTAGATCTGGTTTGGTGCGTATGTGAGGGCCAATACGTGCTTCCTTCAGTGTATGATCTTTCAGATCTCGTCCTCTCAGACCTGGAGTGACGAGTTCTGGAAGACCTGGATTGAGTATCGCCTGTCCTAAGGCTTCTGCTCTCTCCTTGCGAGGGTGTGGTATTCCTACTACGATTTTCTGAGTGGCAAGGGGGGCGTCTTGTTTTTGCGCCCTTCTCCTGTCGCCACTTCTTTTCTCTTCATCTGGCGCTTCAAGGCCTCCATGTCCGCCGCCATCTTCCTTATTAATTCATCTTGCTCCTTCACGCGGTCTTCCAGAACTTAAAGATCAATCCTCCGCCTTTGCCTGTCAGGACTTTGCGAACGAGAGTGACGGGGGCTGTTAGTCCACCTCCCCCTAGTATCCCTCCTGGTGTTATGTCGTTGGGGCTCCAAATCTGCCATGGGAGGGATAGAAGGTAGTTCTTCACGCCTTGCTCCCTCATCTGGTGTTTGCCCGTCGATGGCGGACTGCGGTAATTCTTCAATGTGTGCCATTGTTCCTAAAGAGGTAAAGCTTGATCAAGAGGTTTTGTCCTGTCTGATTTTCCCACATACGGCGCCAATTGTACGGAAAGAAATAAACCTTCTCGTATAATCCTGTTGATCAAGTCTGTGCTCCTCTGTACAACGTCGCCATATCACCTGAAAACACAAACGTGAGCTAGCCGGCGGGTGTGTGCCGGAAACCCCTCCGATGCCTAAGTCAGCAACTAGACAATAGACAATAAGCTCTGTGTATTAAGAAGGTAAAGTTGTGTATTACCTCTCCAAAGGTGATGTTTGTGAGCTTTTATAGGTTTCGTGTGGCACAATCCTAGTAGAACTTCTACTCCTCCATGCAGAGTCCTCCTAGAATTCATACTCCTGAAAGATAATGCTTATCCTTCAACACCCCCCTCACTGCTTAAACCAAGTGAGATGGTTTTATCATGACTGAACTCCAATACGACCGAAGTAAACATGACTATGCATAGCCGTAGAATAAGCCGAACTATCCTTCGTTCGGTTCTTCCTTTCACTATACCTTATCTCGGTTCTCTCATGTACAAATCATGGTGTGGTTAGACCGAACTAACAAGTCATGACCGGTGTAACTCCAAGACCGGTCTAACTTCGCAGTAACGTTAGACCGATCTAACTTCGATCTTCAGTCGGACCGGACTAGATTCACGGCTTTAGGACCGGACTAACTTCCAAATATCCATACGATCGGAGTGACTTACGTGGCCCTTTTACTCGGCCCTTTGCACTGTGGCTCATAACGGCCCATTACCCAGCTCGGCCCAATTTTCACATAAATTACCCTCTCAAAAATTATCCTCTCAGTATCCAATGCAATTACGATAAATTATACTTTATCTTCTTTTTTTTTTTATTTGATCAGTTTTTTATTTTGGTTTTTAATATATATATATATATATATTAATTTAACTGTTCATATTTTAAATTTTTCTTAATTTACTACTAATATTAACATTTGTTTAAAATTAGACAAAAAAATACTATCGATAATTATTACATAATATAAAAATATTATATTATATTAAAATTTGAATTTATGTCAGATGTGTGAATTATATATAATAAAATATTTTTATATTATGTGACTATCAATATGACATTTTCTTAAAACATAAAAAAGTTAAAATAAATTTTATAGACCAAAATAAAAAATAACCAAATATAAAAAATATTTGAGTTGGGATAACCAATTATATCCCGACTCAAATTTATTGATCCCAAATTTTGTCTATTGTAATTTTCCCAATTATTTATTTCCAAGACCATCTCTAATGGATTATCAATTCTTTAAATTTGATAAAAAAAAATTATCATTTTTCTGTTTTAATGATTTCATCAAATGAGTATCAAATCAATAATATTAAAAGAAATTCACCAAATTGAAAACATCAACGACTTTTCATCATTTCATTATTCATAATCGTTGCATTTTCACTATCAAATATTATCCGAATGTCCACCCACATGACCACATCTTTGTAAAAACAACTCCGACGTGGCACGAATGGGCCGACACCAAACGACGTTGTTTTGGTATTTTTTTTTTCCCGCCATTTTTTGAAGCTGAAGAAGAAGAAGGAGGAGCTGGGTTTCATCACTCATCTTCGTCAAAATCATCACCATCATCATCATCATCAACAAATTTTTTTTTTTTTTTAGATCCAGAACAGCTAAAATATATATATATATATACAGAAAACAACATCAACATCATCACCATCATCATCATCATCATCATCATCATCATCATCAACAATTATTTATTTATTTATTTATTTTTCAGATCCAGAACAACTAAAACATATATATTTATATATACAGAAAACAGATTCAGATCCAGAACAACTAAAAAAAAATAAAAAAATACACTCATCATCTCCATATCAACATCATCATCTTCTACAGATCATCTTCTTCATATTCAGATCGGAGAAGAAAAAAAAAAGAAAAAATAGGAGAAGAATCGGAATCGGAGATCAGAGAAGAATCGATTGGCAGCGACGACGTTGATTGACGGCGATCGACCCTCTACTCTCTCTCTTTCTCTTCCTCTTCTTCTCTCATCTCTCTGCTCACTCTGCTTCAGCTTCAGACATAAAAGGAGGAGAAGAAAAAAAAAAAAAAAAAAAAAGCTCAAAACGCGTGGATGTAAGGATACGAGGTTTCGAACCCCTATCCTCAGGCTTAGTCTCTTGCTCTTTTAACCACTAAGCCACGCCACTCCTGTGAAAAAATATTCAAACAAATGTATATATAGGTATACGAGACACATATACAAAAAAAAAAAAAAAAAAAAGTTAAAACACTTAATTTTAAATAAATTTTTTATTTAAATTTAATAAAAAAATATACATTATTAAAGATGCTTAAAACTGCTTCCAGTTGTACAATTCAATGACGGACCCACTTACAAATTAACGGCGACAAGCAATATGTATGTACCCTTTTCTTTTCTTTTGATGGTCTCCACCGTCACATGAATTATAGCGCTTGTACCCCATCCCTCTCTCCCTCGTTTCGGATCTCCCTCTCTCCCTCCCCTCAAACATCGTGTAATGTTAAAGAAATCGCCACATGCCTCCCTCTCTCTCCCACTGTAATGTGACGGTGAACTCGCAATTTTGCATGTGACATGCCTCTCTCTCTCTCTCTCTTGTATACAGTGGAGGTGTTTGGAAGCAAATTTTAGATTTTTTAAAGTTAAAATTTATAAAAAGATAAAATAAGTTAAAATAATTAATAAGATAATCCTAAATCGATTTTGAATGGTTTGATTTGACTTGGTCCCATCCAGTTCATGATTCCGTTTAGCTCTAATGTTTCTGAAATCGTAAGGTGTGGTTTAACTTTTAATTTACTTCAGAAGCAAAGCAAATCAAATCAAATCATAGATAGATATATATATATATATATATATATGTTTCTCTTTCTCTCTTTCTTTCTCTGTGTGCCTCACTCGCTTGGAATAGTTCAATTAATCAGTTGCAGAAAATCAAGGGAGAGATTATCTTCAACTAGTGTTTATCGACTACGAACGATCTCAAAAAAATCAAACCGAAACTCCGTAAATGAAGGCCAAGGCAACATCTACAGCAGTCTTGAGCCCCTCTCTTATCTCTTTCGAACACAAGAGGTACTCCGTTTTTCTAGGGTTTTCTAACTTCTCTCTGTTCCACCGATCGATACTCTGTTATGGACTTCAATGTTGAATTGTCTTTGACTACGCACCTTTTTTTTTTTACTTGATCGTTTTGATTTTGTTGAAGACCAAGATCGGACTTCCTGATTTCTGGGTTTATCTTGATTCGACTCTTTTTTAGTTTTCTGGGTTAAGGTAAGGGTTTAAGTAATGTATATGGTGAGGGAATCAATTTTCCTGTGAAGTTTGGCAATTTTGAGTTTTGAATACTTTGCTGATTACTTTGGGGCAGTGTGGAGTGTGATTGGTAGTAGAATTGATGGTCTCTGTAGAATATGTTGTTGTCCAATCTGATTTGGATATATTTAGATTGCACGTAATTGAGTTCCACTTTGTATTGGGGAAATTGCAAATAAATGGTAAGATCTGAAAATAAAAAATAAAATTGCAAAATACAATTTACTTTATTAAAAACATTGCACCAAAAGACCCCTTCCTTATAAATTACAGATATAATACGGTACAGATAGAGCAATACGATGAAATCTAAAAAAAAATAAGATATGGGTATAGCCTGGATAGGTCGATATATATGTATATATAATTTTTATTATTATATTATACATGAGCTCAAAAAGTAGTGAGAAATCATTATTTAGGAATTACATTAGATATTAATTTAAGAACCAATAGTCAGTTTAATTTTTTCTTGGTTGATATGTTAGTTTGATAAAATCTGATAAGGTAAAGTGTGAGAAGGTAGAGTATTAATCTAATCTCACTATTTTCTAATTGAAAATATTGAAAAACTGTTGTTGTATTTATTCCAACAATTATACTCTAATAATATACAAAAAATATTACAATAAATAGTTTGGATATTTGATCTAGAGTGTATGAAAAGTATTTGATAGTTCTTAAAAATTAGGGTAAATTACAAATACACTCTTTGAGTTTTGCTTTAAACACGAATTGCCCCCTATAGTTTTGAAAATTACAGATACCCCTTGTCATAATTTTTTATTTAACAAAATTAGGACTGGTTTGGCATGTTTGAAAAAAGTCAAAAAGTCTCTATCATATTTAAGTCACATCATTTTATTTAAGTCACATCACTTCTCGAACACATCACTTCAAATCCATCTCAAACCCAACCTATATTTCATAAAAAGTCAAAAAGTGCACTTATTTAGATCATCACAAACAACCCCTAGTAAAAAAATTAAATTTCTAACTGCACTCATATATAACAATAAAATTATTTAAATTGTTAATTGAAATATATTTATGACATCAGTAAAAATTATTAATTAACTTCATAATTTATTCATAAAATGAATAATTTGTTATACCATTAGAAATTTGAAGGGTTATGGTGTAATTTCTAGAGTTACAGAGAGCAATTCGTATTTTAAGCAAATCTCAGTGGGTGTATTTGTAATTTATTCTGAAAATTAACATCAAGTATCGGCCACTTTTAAGAAATATTAGATATGTATTCGCGAGTATCCGAGGTGTTCTGATATTCAATACAGGTATGATAGTTATAGCTCTCTTTTAGAAGTATCCATGCTATATAGTCCCTTCCTTTTCCTTGAATCTACTAAATTGCCTCTTTATCTTTTCTTCCTTCCCCTCTGCAACTTTAGTGTTGGGCCACAACTACCATGCCTTTCCCTGTAGCCCCTAAGCCCTCCCTACTCTCCCCTAATCCACTGCCACCCTTCCCCATTGTCTCCTACCCCTCTCCCTACCATGGCTCTAGCTCCATCGTTCTCCCACCACTCCCAATCCTCCCCTTCCCACCCAAAAACCCCCATTCACACAAAACAAGCAACTGTAGCTACCACAAACCTTCCCTGCCCCTCCCTATTGGGACCCGAACCCCCAACCCAGGCGTAGATTACATTTGCACCCATGCACGTGTTATACTTGCATTGAGCATCAATGGTTCTTGCACCAAACTATGTTTCATAAGAGCAAGGGTTAGGGGTTTTGGGTTGCGGCGGGGAGGTTTGAGGGGTTTTGTGGTGGCTAGGAATTGGGTGGACGCAATTATTGGGAGGGGTGGGGATGGGCTGGATTGGCAAGGGATGGTGGTAGCCATAGTAGGGGAAGAGTGGGAGGGGTGGAGGTCAGGGGTGGCCGGAGAGGACTTGGAAATGGCAAGGGAGGGTTTGAGGATAGCGGTGGAGGGTATGGCATGGGTCGCTGGTGGTGGGCTGGCGGCAATTGGAGAGATAGCATACAAGAGGGAAGAGGAGAGGTTGGGGGCAGTTTTGTCCTAACAATTCATTGTTTCACCTCTTTGCAAATACTTTCCAAGATTCCATTGGTTTTGCAATTTTGGGAAACATACCATTGATTTGCTATTATTTTTTGTTCCCTCCATGTTTATGCAGTTTCTCCTTTTATATTTGTTGGGACATATATTTCGTTGCATATTAAGTTTTTATAGTAGTAATTAGTCGTAATCTACAGTTCTATTGATTTGCTATGTACCTGAGAACTTGATGGTGGATTTACTATAGTATAGAGTGATCTGAATGAAAACGGGTATTGAATGTGGTAACTTAATAGGCATTTGTGTGTGCAGGGATGCTTATGGGTTTGCTGTGAGACCTCAGCATGTACAAAGATACCGCGAATATGCTAATATATACAAGGTTTTTTTCCCTGGTTTTTCTTCTGCTTAATTTTTCTTATTTTTCAAACAAACACTCTGTTTGGTAGCTGAGAAAATCTGAAGACAATAAAAGTAGCAGAGTATTGTTGTCTTTTATGTTATATATATATGTTTCTTGAATATAAATTACTCGAATAAGTGTGGACTGAGAATTTTTTTCTTTCCCCCCTCCTGCATGATGCATTTTCAGCATCTAAATGGAGTTTTGGTGAGAAAATAATTCTGAAGATAATAAACTATGCCTTGTACTGTGTGATACACTCATACTTTAGGAGGAAGAGGAGGAAAGATCAGATAGGTGGAAGAACTTTCTGGAACAGCAAGTAGAGACTCAACTATTGCCTGTAAATGGGTTATCTTATGAGGAAGGTAAAAAGGAATTACTTGCAGAAGCTACTGAGCAGGAAGCAAATGTCATATCAGAGAAAGACGTAGAAGGAGATGATTTAAGTATCAAGAAGCAAGATTCTGGTGCTTCTACTGAAGATTTGAAAAATGGGGGAGTGTCAGCGGTGATAGAGACGAAAACTCATAGGGTCCAAATATGGACTGAGATTAGACCATCCCTTCATGCCATCCAGGATATGATGAGTATTCGAGTGAAGAAAAAGAGCAATTTAGCAAAAAATGAGCAAGATGCTGGAATTGGAAAGCCTCTTCCTCCTGTTGAAGAGGTTAAATCTGCAAAAGGAGCATCAGAAGAGGATTCTGAAGAGGAGTATTATGATGTGGAGAGATCAGATCCAACTCAAGATGCCCCTTCCAGTGACAGTGTGAGTGCCCCTATGCCTACTGCTACTGATGTGGTCCATCCTGAATCTTTCTCTTCATGGAAAGAAGAGTTGGAATGTCTTGTTCGTGGGGGAGTGCCAATGGCTCTGAGGGGAGAGGTACAGCTTGCTCTTGGGTTCTTTGATTTTCATTAAACTCAATTCTCAGTGACTAAGCTTCATATATGATTTACACTACAGCTTTGGCAAGCCTTTGTGGGTGTGCCCGCTCGCCGGTCAGAGAAGTATTATCAAGATTTGCTAGGTGCAGAAAATAATTCTAGCAACAGTGTGGAACAACAAAGTTTGCAATCGGGCAAAAGTAGTAAGGGGTCAAATACATGCGCTGTATCTGTACCTGAGAAATGGAAAGGGCAGATTGAGAAGGTCATTACATACACAATCTTTGAAATGTATTAATTTTGTCACTTTGTAGTTGGTACAAGGTAGCTTTACTTTTATCACATTTACAATCCAAGTTTTCCAACTTATTGTTAATACTTCTTACATGCAGGACTTACCTCGAACTTTCCCAGGCCATCCTGCCCTGGATGAGAATGGTAGAAATGCTTTGAGGCGTTTGCTAACAGCATATGCTCGACATAACCCCTCTGTTGGGTACTGTCAGGTATCTGGGCGTTGCAGAACTTATGTGCTCAGTCTCCTAAAAGTTGATTAATGCATGCAATTAACTTTGAGGGCTAAGAGGTGGAATTAGCTATAATCAATTCTTTAAATTTTATCTCACCTCAATTCTCTTTGGTTAGTGTATATTCTGGTGTGCAACTTGTATCATTCAACCTCATTTAGTTCTGTATTGAGCAATTCTGCTATAGAAAGTGATCAAGATAAGTGTAGCATTCAGACTTAAAATCCCGACTTTGTTATGAGCCTGCCTTTTGGTTAGACTTCAATCACTTCACTAGGACCATTTTATGGCAAAATCTCTGTATGATGTGGTTAGTAATATCTGACATTTCCAATTGTAAGTATAACCAAAATTTATGGTTTGTTAACTCTTGTATCTTCTGATTCCGTCACGTAACTTTCGGGTGATGGATATAAGCTCTATAATCTTTTTGCATTAAAATTGTTCTGGCAAAAGCTGAGTCAGTGCTCAAGTTTATCTTATAAACTATAGAATTGTCTCTTTAGATGTTATTAGCATGTACATAGTACACCTAGCTTTTCTAATTAAGCATCAGATCGCGCCAGCATAGGCACCATGATGTATCAACATCAGAACTTTATATGGACTGCTTCACAACCAATATAGTTGAATTGCATGCCAAACAGCAGCTATTTGGTTATCATTTATGGTACATTGAGGGTTTGAATCTAATTTTCATTTCAAAGCACAATGGTAAAGTTTGCTCCCAGAATTTGTTTGGCTTGTCAAATACATGTTTTCCATTTTCAATGGTGTTGTGACAGTTCAGTGTCAGATTTTTATTGGCTTCATTATAATCACGGAGAGGGAGAGAGGGATGACAGTTGTGGAAGTCATTCAATGCTTTCTTTCATATCCTTATGAGTTGCTAAGTGATGACTCCTCCTGGCCTAATGGGTGATAAAGATAATAGTTTTATCGTTTAGTGCCAGTTCTTTGGATTTTTATGGAGAAATTATTGGAGTTGGACACTTATTCTGAAGATACTGTATGTACAATTTCAGAATGATTGGTGCCAGTTCTTAGGAATTTTTTTGAGAAATTGTTGGAACCCCCACCCCCCCGGGTGTTGCTTAATGGACCAAAACTAAAAGCAGAAATGTAAAGGAAAGCAAGGCATGAAAGACTATAAGAAAACATGATTAAGCTATCTGGAGATAGATGAACAATTTTCAGTTAGTCCACGCTTAACTAAAATTAGAAGCTTGTGCTCTTGTAGCTGTCTTGAAAATGCTTCTTTATGCTGACTGAGGTCGTGTTCGATAAAGTTGAAAACTGAAAATGTAAGGCTGAAAGTTAAGTATTGAAAACTGAATGCTGAATTTTTTAAGCTGAAAAGCCAATTGATAAATATTTAAGTGTTGAACTAAAAATAAGTTGTTTGATATTATAAGATCAAATTTGAAATTTGTTATTTTCAAATTGCATATTTTAATTTTTATATTGTGATGGTGGTGTTTATGATATCAATGACAATGGTGGCGGTGGCGGCATGGAGATGGTTGTGGTGGCGGTAGAGATGATAGTGGTAGTAAAATGATGGTGGTTCTTATGATAATAATGACAATGGTGATGAAGGTGGTGTTAGTAGTGGTGGCAGTGGTGGTGATGGTGGTAGCGGTAGCAGTAGCGATGGTGTTGGTGGTGGTGAGTTTATAATAGTATATATCAATACTTATGTTTAGTTTTTATAAATTCAATCAGAATTAAATAAGTTTTATGTGACTTAAAATTTTCTTAAGTTTTAGCCTACATTTTGAGAGGTACTTAAATTTTTAAGTGATATAAATTATGGTTATCAAACGGGCTTAATTGATTATTACTTAATACATTCAGTTTTGAGTATTGAATTAGGTTATTAAACACCTCCTATGCAGAACTCTAGAAATCCATTCAACAGTATGAGGGGGGGCACCATAGAGAGTATACTTGGAACATCCACAATGACCGAGTAAATTCACCAAGAGGAGATTGTTTGAGGCCAATACAGTTGAGCACTGTTAGAGATGTTCCAAACTAATAGCCTCCCATCATTGTTCCATCGTTCCATTAATGGCTAGTTTTGCTGCTTGGCCTTTGGTCAGATCTATGTGGTCACCTGTGAAATGTTTTGCCCAAGCTCCCAGCACTTAGCCACCTGAGTTTCTAGCTATTTGAGCAGTAAAAAAGTTTGGATCACATGCTGCATCCCCATTAATTCACCAGAAAATTGAACAGTTAATGGACAATTATTACTTTCAAAAGCCTGAAGTTTTACCAGTTGCCATGTGCACGAATTTTTATGTTTGCTGTCATTTTTTCTTTTGAGCAGTAAAAAAGTTTGGATCACTGCTGCATCCCCATTAATTCACCAGAAAATTGAACAGTTAATGGACAATTATTACTTTCAAAAGCCTGAAGTTTTACCAGTTGCCATGTGCACGATTTTTTATGTTTGCTGTCATTTTTTCTTTTTTATCTAACATTTTTAATTTTACACTGGTTTTCCTACTAATTGAAATTTGTTGTCTTTCTGCAGTACTGACATTCTAGCTTTCTCTGTTTGTTGGATTCAAACCATGCAGGCTATGAATTTCTTTGCGGGCTTACTATTGCTTCTAATGCCTGAGGAAAATGCCTTTTGGTAGGTTTAAAAACTTATTAAAAAATTTACCTTGCAGAATTGATACAAATATTGTGCTATTTGTGGAAGAAAAGTTTTGTAAAACCTCTTTAACCGAATTTTTTTATGAATGGATTTTGGCTTGTACTCTTGTTTTTATAAGTCAGAAGCATGACTGACTTTTTTACTTTTTCATTTATTTCATGGAAGAATGTATGGCACAATGTCATCCACTTCTGTCATTTCTTTAGCCTTTTATTTTCATCATTACAAAGTATGAAGCTGTATAGCTGCCTAATCATTTATTTATGTTAAATATACAGGACTTTAGTGGGTATTATTGATGACTACTTTGATGGCTATTATTCAGAGGAAATGATAGAATCTCAGGTAAATTTTCTTTCTGCCTTGGATTGCTTGTCATTTGTTTCACATGTTGATTTTTCTTTTCCTTTCTTTTTGATTATGCATCCCTCTCTTTAATTAGATATATGAACAAAGTCGAGTAAGGCATATAAATGAGTAATAACGGATGGGTGTTGTGAGATGGTTAAGATATATATTTTTAAATTTTGCTTTGTCAGGTTGACCAACTTGTTTTTGAGGAGTTGGTGCGCGAGAGATTTCCGAAATTGGGTTTGTTCCTTATTATTAGTTTTAAATTTTTAAATTTTTTTTTTTATTATTATTTCATTCTCCAACTTTTTTCTGTATCTAAAAGTTGTTCTCCAGTTTCTTATTGATTCTATCTCGGTCATTGCAGTCAATCATTTGGATTACCTTGGAGTGCAGGTGGCATGGGTTACTGGACCCTGGTTTCTCTCAATTTTTATGAATATGCTTCCATGGGAAAGTGGTCAGGTTCTATGTTTCGTCATGCATAATTTAAAAGTGATTCTTTGTTGACAATGCAAATGAAATCTTCATGCATATTCTTCTGATATTTGGCCATGTAGATCGCCTTTTAATACTTATTTATTCTCATGATTGACATTAGTTGTTTCTACTCATAAGTTGGCCTGAAATCTGATGGGTCTCTCTTGACTTCAGTTCTTAGAATCTGGGATGTTCTGCTTTTTGAAGGAAATCGTGTGATGCTATTCAGAACAGCGCTTGCCTTGATGGAGTTATATGGTAATGGGGAAAACTTTTTAAAATTTAGTAATTTTAATTTATTTCAAGGAGGGCATATATAAATACGAATTTATTACTATGCAGGTTATCTTATGGAATAAAACTTAATTTTGTTCAGTTTCATGTAGGACCTGCATTGGTGACAACCAAGGATGCGGGGGACGCAGTTACATTGCTGCAGTCATTGGCTGGCTCAACATTTGATAGTAGTCAACTTGTCTTGACAGCCTGCATGGGTTACCAAAATGTAAATGAAGTTAGATTACAAGAATTGAGAAATAAACATCGACCAGCCGTAAGGGCTGCAGTTGAGGAAAGAACAAAAGGACTTCGAGCTTGGAGGGATTCCCAGGGTCTGGCATCGAAGCTATATAGTTTCAAGCATGATCCTGGCTCAATAATGATTGAAACCAATAAATCAAATCAATTGGCTGATACACAGACAAATGGTTATATTTCTCACAAGGAGTCTGGGTCTACTAACGTGGATGAATACCTTAAGAACTTGACAGGGGATGCTGAGATAGATTCTGTCCCAGATCTTCAAGAACAGGTAGCTTATGCAATGTTAAATGTTCTTTCCATAAAGTTTAATGTGTTTTTGTGGCCCTTCTTTTTTGTGGGAAGTGAGGGGTGAGCTGCCTGAGGAGTGCTCTCTGGAAATATGGCAGCCAGGCACTGGTATGGCTGGAGACCACTGGAGGTGGGAGCAGAGAGAGCCAAGGACAACCTTAGTAGAGAGAGGGTGGCAGTGGAGAGCTGGCACCCTGGAGAGCAAGGTAGTTTGTGTTGCGTCATGGCCTCCATGGAGGTTGCCTTTGTAAAGGGTGGCAAGTCAAGGGGAGCTAGCTCAACCAAGTACATGTGGTGTGACCCCCTTGGCTAGGCAAAATGGAGAGAAACAGGGTCAACTTTGCAACCTTTGATATTGGCCTCGAGGGGTGTATCATATGTGTGGACAGAGGGTAAGTATGGTACACATCTCTTTCTGGGTGTGCTAGAGTGGTTCAAAGGCAACTATGACACAACCATCGTGGTGTTAGGTCTTGGTCAAAGTCCACCAAGACTGGTCTGAGTGCGCGTTGCCTCAAAGGGGGTGGGTGGGGAGAGTTTGGCTAGCACTTGGACATACCCTAGGCTCTAGCCTCTAATCCACGAGTCCTTTAGTAGTCTCGAGTGCAGTACCTGGGCCCTGCACCCAGCCCACACAATCATGGTTGGACCATCTGTCCTTCAGGATGGAGATTTCGCTCGATGGGGTTACTGGTGAGCATGATTGAACCTGACTCGCCCTGTGTAGCTACTAACAAGTTTGAGAAACTGAGCTAACCAGGCTGGGCTCAGGCGAAACTTGCAAGGCCAAGCATAGTTGAGGTGCTTGACTTGGTGACTGGCCCATGTGTCCACTGGCTGGAGATGACGTGTGGTGTGCTATGTGGATGACATGGCACGACCAGGAGGTGCCACATACCAGGACTGGACCCCGTACACCTGCACTTGCCAAAAAATTTTAAAAGTTAAAACATTAAGAGCCCTTTCAGATGACTCCAATTCTGGGTTGTTGCTGCTGTAATGTAAGAATAATATATATTTAGCGTTGCCCTCAAATGGTCACCTATTCATAATCGAAATCTATACACTGATGTGGGTTTTGAGAGTAGGTTGGATATAGAGCTTTGGCTTCTGAGAGCCTTAACAAATAGGATTGCTTGGTTGTCATTATATAATTGCCTGAATTGGATGTCCTCAACATTGCATTGCTTTCCAAAATTTCAATTGAAAAATTCAACTCATGCTTACTTTGGTCAGTAATTTAATTAATATATGGTCTCGGCCTATTGTGAATAACTACACCTCCAGTAATCTAAACTTTTACTTGACACATTGAGTATGACATTAGAAGTTATGGAATTAAAATTTCTCGTGTTAAAGACAAATGCTCTCTATCAGGAAAAAGAAGTGAAAATTGTAAATAAGGGAAAGGACATTGGATATCGTATTCCATAAAACTCTTTTCAAGATTAACATTTTGCCCCTTGGAATTATAATACTTTCGTCATATTCGTCATATTATAGGTATTGCTGCGGCTAATCTATGATTTAAACTTGCAACCAGTATAGTTTCTTATTCTCCATGTTAATGTGTATACTGTGTGCAGGTGGTGTTGTTGAAGGGTGAATTGTGCAACTTGGTAGAGGAAAATAGATCTGCAGTTCTCAGGTTATTATATTGAATATTGTGTATCGTTATTTAACTCGTTTTTTTTGAATGAGTTGTTATTTAACTCTTCAATCTGAAATTATACTACACTATTGCTTTTTTTATTTATTTATATTCTTTTCTTTTCAAATTCAACTAACTCCCAAGTCAGTTTTTGATAGTAAAAAAAAAACTACCCAGGAGACTAGGACATGTCTAAATATATACATATGCAGAACTTCCTAGGGTAAAATGGTTTTTTAATGTGCCATAGAACATTTGGAGTGGGCACTTCACTCAATTTTATCACACAAGTTACATAATAAGGGAATTTTATGTCAAATAATATAGTAAACTTAGATCATCAGACATGCTTGCCAGGTGCATATAGTTTTTAACCAGAATTTTTTTTACTTATATTAGATGGCAGTTGTTATTGTTGCTTTCTCGATATCCTTTCTCACATAAAAGTTTTGTGAAAGCTTCAACTATATCATTTATTATAGCAACAGTGTTTACCCTTTTTTTGTTGTCATTTTTCTTTTGCAGAGCTGAAGAGTTGGAAACGGCATTGATGGAGATGGTCAAGCAGGATAACCGGCGACAACTAAGTGCAAGGGTATATCAGAGTTTCCTTTCCGCATGGCTTTCCTCCCGCTTTCTTCTTTTGATATGAATGTAATGAAATATAATGATTGTTCTCGTGATTCTATATTTGCCTGCTATTCTACAAAGTGGCTGTAGAATTCTACTCGCAGACCATCTGTTTGTGTGTGTGCTTGCATGCGTGTGAGACAATCAGTAGTGTTGGCTCTAGCACCCCTTGTTGTCTTGCTTTGCAAAAGTAAAAAAAGAAATAGACCTGGTTTTCCTGATGTGTTAATTTGTTCTTTTTTATTCATTTAAGAGAGAATTTTTCTTGCAATTTACTGCTCCTTTTCCTGTTTGCATGCCCTATTGTAACTAGTTTTCTGCTAGCTGTGTGCATGCCATGTGCCATATTCTTCTTGTTTGCATCCCAAATTTGTAATTTTTGAATTCTTAATTTGTTTAATTATTTTCCCAGAACTCATTGAATTTCAGCCAAAATACCTCACTTTCTTTGTGGTGTATTTGCTTTTCTTTTTCCTGATCATTTTCTGTGGTTTTTGAATCGGAGGAAGGGGGGGAATTCCTGCTAAGTTTTTCACCTTTTTCTGCTCAAAATCTGCTAAAATTGTTTGGTGTAGTTATTAGAATTTTTGTAAGCAAGATCCTTGTTTAGTGTCTGAGTTCCTATTTATTCTTCTACCTAGTTTAAAATGCCAAATAAAAATATTTTTCGTATTGACCATTTGCTTATGAGCATCAGGTTGAGCAATTGGAGCGAGAGGTTGCTGAACTTCGTCGTGCCCTTGCTGATAAGCAGGAACAAGAAAATGTCATGCTTCAGGTTTTGCATTGCTTTGACAATTAAATATGTAAACAATTGGTTCTATTCTCTCTTATGCGATAAAGATTTCTAACAATATCTTGATTATGACTTATCTGATAGGTTTTGATGAGGGTAGAGCAAGAACAGAAGGTAACAGAAGATGCTCGCAGATTTGCTGAGCAAGATGCAGCAGCTCAGAGATATGCTGCTCAAGTGCTTCAGGTTTTACCTTTTGCTTTATACTTATTTTTTTGGTACTGATTTACTATAATGTTGCATGGTTATTAGACTTTATACAACCCATGCAAATTAGAGATATCATGTAAATCACAAGGTAAACAAAGCAAGTATGTGAACACAACAATCTAGTTAGTCTTTTTCTTTTAAAAAAATAAAAAACCAAAATTTGGCTAATGAGAAGTGTGTGGGCATCTTAGAGTACTCTTCTAGCCCTGGGCACGTGCAAAACTAAGTAGTCTTTATTTCACTGTAAATTATAAGTGCTGTCATCATTGGTTGACCTTTGCTTTATTATAAAGGCCCTTGGATTAGCAAGAAAGACCATTTAGCCACTAATTGATGACCTCAAACCTGATGGTTGACACTGGAGGCACGATTTGCACTGGAAGGAGACGCTTTACATTTTCTTACACTGTTTGGTTTTGCTAGTGCATTTTTAAGCCCTTTTGCAAAAATTTCATTTTTACATTTTTAAGTATGATATATAGTGCCAACATCTGGTTTTAATTGAACTCATTTTCAAATAAAATTTCTATCAATTCAATCTTAACATTCCTGAAACATGGTTGGGGTAGCCCAACATAGAAGATGGGGTGGGGAATATAACTGGAACAATGCCTATTTTTGCCTAGAGCTCCTGAGTAATTGTTTTATTGTATTATGGTGTTGGAGAATGAAATGGAAGGTATCTGGCTTGGGGCCTTGTAGCGCAATAGTATAAGGTTGGTTTCTTGGTCAAACTTAATTTAGACATCGGAGGTTCAAGACTACTGATGCAGCAACCTTTGACTTTCAACCAGAGGTCATAATAGAACTCTAATGAGTTATATAACCTGCCTCCCCCTTCTCCCACAAGAAAAAAGAAAAAGCTAAAACTGAGTTGCCATTCACTTTCTGTAAGTAGAGTTTTTATGTAAGTCTCATTGATTCCCATAATTCTGATTTATTGGAGAGCATGGAATTTGGAATCAAATTTGATTTTTTGCTTTGCTTGAGTTTTCTCTTACATTTTACCTTTATTCTTCATCATGTGCCTAGTTTCATAATCATCATAATTGTCTTGTCTTCCTTTCAAATTCATTTGTGTGAAGTATGTGTGGCAATTTTGCATCAAGTTGTAACTACACCTGATGGTTTGGTGATTCTGTAGCTTGTCATTATCTAAATGTATGACATTGGAATTTCAGGTCCATAAAGTTTCTTGGCCTTCGATTGTAAATATTCCGCTAAAACAACTCTACCCATGCAGGAAAAATATGAAGAGGTGACTTTTACCCTCTCTGAAATGGAGAAGAGGGTGGTAATGGCAGAGTCAATGTTGGAAGCTACCTTACAGTACCAATCTGGCCAAATTAAAGCACAACCATCTCCACGGTATGTAGTCAATTTTTTAGAACGGCCTTGTTTTTATGCATGGGTACGACTCTCTATTTGCATTTTGACAGGACTTATCCCCATTTTTTTTTTCCCTCTTCAATTCACTACCCAAGTTGGTGATTCCAAAAGTATGCAGTAATTAGACTTTTTGTTCCATATTTAAATTGCCCCTTATTGTCATTTAATGTGTATGTTTTGTTTGTTATTTTAGTAATCTAACATCAGTTGTCCTTCCACAATGCTTACTCTGCATGCACATTTATCCTGTGTGGTTGTTATCATCTCTTGTAATAAATGAAGTGTGGTTTGTAGATCTGTACAACAAGATTCTTCACCAGTGCAGAGCAATCAAGAGCCCACACAAGACTTTCCCGTGAGAAAAATTGGTTTGCTCTCTAGACCATTTGGACTTGGTTGGCGTGACAGGAACAAGGTCAGCTACGATTATATTGATTCTTCACTTAAATTCAATGATGATTGTGGGTCGTTTGATATATGAAATAGTCTGGACCAGCTATTGAGTAAATCTAAGTACACGAATGATTTTCACAGAATGGGACACAGATGTGATACAAATTGTGGGTCCCCATTCTGTGAAAATCTTGTGTGTTCATAACACAGCTGCCAGCTATTAGTTGGTACGGAACTATGTTACCTGGAATATGGATCGTTCCGGTACGTGGAACGAAAATGGGAACGGGATATGCCGCATGCTCTAAAATGTGGTACGATAAGGGTAGATTTGTTTGTATTACACTTGAGAATTTAAGGTACTTTTTGAGTAATTTTCTTTAACTATTAGGCATATATATATATATATATATATTTGTGTGTGTGTTTCCAATTTTTATGTTCATCTTATCAAAACTCAAGTCACCTTAAATTTTAGTTCTTTATATTTGATTTTTATTCCTCTCAAGGTAACATTTAAAGAAATATTTTGGAAAAAACTTTTGGGATCGCTTTGGATCACTAAATTTACTGTTTTGGAAAGAAAGCGTATCATGTTTCAGAATGTGTGTATCAATACGTAATTTGCTAGGGTTTTAGCGTTTTCTAGTAACATGTATGGAATATGAAGTAGTTGACATGTATTCCTTTTTCTACTGATAAAAGATATGTATACTTAAGGAGTCAAGCACGAGCTTGGAATTTGGGCTAGTTTTGTAGCACATGTCACAACCAAGATGCTTTGGAAAATCACCCGTATCCCATATTAAGAGATGATTTTGACATAGATGATTTTCACAGAATGATTTTGCAATTTAATGTAAAGGAAAAGGAAATCTATTTTCCTTTGTGTTCATTTGTCAGGAAAAGAAAGTGTGTAGTTTAGATCCCTGCAAAGTCTTGTATTTTTTTGCAGGACGTGCTTTGGGAACTATCTCATCGTAGTGGGAAAGTTAAGATATGGGTCCACAAGTTTCTTTCTAACTGAACATTGGATAAAAAGTTATAGAAAAGAAGAATTTGCTATACTTTATTTTCTTTTCATGACAACTGAACAGGGTGATCAGGAGCCGTATTAGATCATGTCTTGATGAACTATCATTTTTATGCTTCTATTAAATTTGCAAATAAGTATTCTCGAAATGCAACAGGGGAAGCCCGCTAATGCTGAGGAGCCAACCGATGGCAAGTCTACAAGCAAGGAACAAAGTCCAAGTGCCGAACAGAAAGACACTAATGGCCATCAAGTGTAAAGATCCAAAGTGTAAGACTTTGTAGGACGATTATAAGATTCCCTAATTTCTCTACCTGGGATTCTTAGTATTCTTCTGTATTGATGAAGCATGGGGACCCGCATAGATTTAGTTTTTCTTTTTCTGTATTCTCATTCTGATATAAAAGCTCCTGTTGATTTATTGTTTTTGTTTGTTTGTTTGTTTGTTTGTTTGTTCATTAAACAGTGGCGATGATAATAGTTGTAGGGGAGAAGAGAAAATGTAGAAAGAATTCATTGTTATCAACGGTATAATCAATGCTTCTGTTTCTTGTATTGCTTCATCATCTTTGGAAGTCCCCCCCACCCCCCAATTTGAATAACTATTGACAAGGATGAATATTTGTTTGCTTCTTTTTATTTTTTCTTTTAATATAATCTCTTTTTGGTCAAATAAAATGTCAGAAACTGTACATGTATATTTCTCAATTTCTCAACTGATTTTCGGTGTCATATTTTGATAATCATTAATTGTCCAAGTCCTGTGCATAATCTGCTTCCTAGGCTTAGTACCTCGTATATGCGCCAAGTTGCTTTCAGTGATGCTTATGCTTATTCGAGAGGGGTTTAGGACACAATTGTACAATTCATATTTGTTAATCAATTAACTTACCTCTTAAGTTAAGAATGTGTATCAAAAAGTACAAAGAAAATGAAATAAAATAAAAAGCAAGTAATAGAGAGTATATGGTAGATCTTGGGATGAACAACTCAGCGTTCGCAGAGTCACTAGGATTATGAGTTCGCAGAGTCACTAGGATTATGAGTCTGTTCGGTGTAGTATTTTTAAAACTAAAAATTTATAATCAAAAAGTAAAAATTAAAATAGATTTTTTTTGTTTCAATTTATCTAAACTATTAGAAATTGCACAAACACTTGTATGACAATAGGTCATGATACAATCCCTTGGACGGTATTGATACAATCCCCCTGGGTAGTTATAGCCGATGACACTATTGGTTAGTATGGTAGACGAATCTAATACTAATAATAAAGATACAACCATTGGGCATAGTTTAACCTTTGCAATGATTGTGTTCTGGACTTTTAACCCAACATTTCAAGATTATTGCAACGGTAGAGAGTCCATTTTTGCTAGACTTTCTTCAGGTTTTGAGAGTAACAACCATGAGGATATCCATGCTCCCAATCAACATTCATGAACACTGCAAAGACCAAGAGCAAGATTTAACCATAAGGAAGGCCAACACAATACCACCCAAAATTGTGATCACTCTTGGCAAATATAGCTGTTGTTTCTGTATAAATGGCATTTAAATACAAGAAACCCCAATTAACATATAAAAAAGAGTGACAAAAATTTATAAAAGAAAGAAATTTTGTTGAGTTACAGCGAACACTGGGTGGACTGGGAGCCGGCTAGCTAGAGACCCGCAAAATTTGATCAGCAGCAACAATTGATGTGTGCAGTCTGTCAAACTCCTAATGAACTAATTCCCAATCCTCCTGTACACTATACCACAAAAATCTATCCATCTTGATAAGATTTATACCTAAACGCCACAGCTAACAAGTCACAGTAACATAACCATGGGCTTCTAAATTTTAACGGTCTCAAATTAGTCTTCTGGTTTAATCTCTCTCTCTCTCTCTCTGATCCACAGCCACCATTACTGCTATCTTCTAATTCTAGGAGTGGAAGAGCCTGAGCCGGAGCCTGAGCCTGAACCTGAACCTGAGCCTAAGCGAGTGGTTTGGACTTGCTTGGTTTCAGGGTTGTATTTTTGGGAAGAAAGATAGGTTAGAGCTGTAACGACGTCTGCTATAAGGGGTCGCATGTTTGGCTCCTCCTGAACACACATTGCAGCAACAGCAAGAGCTTGATACAATCCCCTCAGTGGGTATTGCCCTTGGAGCACGGGGTCAACCATCTCTACGAATTTCCTTCTGTCCTTGAACAAGGGCCGAGCCTGCAAGCACATGGGCAACAATTACATGAGACTCCATACTGAACTATTTTAAAGTGACAAGAAATTGTATTTCTGTTCTATCAATTAGAAAGCTATAATGAACTCCTAAAGCCTATGTAGCATGGTATACGGGGTATGGATAATATGTTGAAGTCAATATGGCAAGACCTTTGAAAAAAATGATATAGGTAGGGCCAGTTTGCGTTAAAAAAAAAATTATAATTTGAAGAAGTGCATTATATATAACAATTAGAAACCAAACGTAAAAATTAATTACATGGCTTAGTTGATTAAGGATCCAGCTTACAAAGCTGAGTTTAATGCTAAAAACAAGGTTCAAACTAGATTTTAATGTCATTACATTGGAGAACCTACAAGCCAAAACTTACTTCTAAAAGCATGCTAGGCAACAAAGAAAGTTCTATCAAGCTAACTTTGTATCTGAATAAAAGAACTCCCTATCTTGTACTTGTACAATTCAAAACAAGATTTAAGTTGAAATTTGTTGTTCCTCCACAGGTACAAAGTACATATCCAAGTTGTACCCTCACAAATCAAAATTTAAAAAAGAAAAAAGAAAAAGGGATATGTGTTTCGCGCAAAATAAATCCACAATTGCACAAACATATATAAAAAGAGAAGACAGTGGGTCCCTTACCCATGCAACCAGATTCTGCTCATTCCCAACCCTTGAATTGTCAATTGCCTTTCTTCCAGTGATGATTTCAAGAAGAACAACCCCAAAGCTATAAACATCTGATTTTAATGTAAGCTGGCCTGTCATCGCATATTCTGGAGCACAATATCCATAGGTTCCCATCACTCTAGTGGATACATGGGTATTATCCCCAACAGGACCCAACTTGGCCAAGCCAAAATCAGACAGTTTGGGAAAAAACCCTTTGTCGAGTAAGATATTTGAACATTTTAAATCACGGTATATGACAGGAGGGTTCGCTTTGTCGTGCAAATACTCCAAGCCCTTTGCAGCACCTGCAGCTACTTTCATTCTTGTGTTCCAGTCGAGTCGTTTTTTATCAGGTGGAAGGTCTGTATATTTACATATCAGAATAACAAAATATAATCATTAGTAACAAAACAAGATCTATTCAAAAAATTTCTTGAAGATTATTCCAAAATATGTAACAAAAAGATAGCACTTCAGGAAACATGGTAAAAAAACTCAAAAAACAATTAATGAAATAGTATAACAGAATCCTAATCCAATCAGCATTTCCCTTTTCTTTCAGGCTGTGAAAAATGCTTCAGCTTTTCAACTAACACAAATACCAGATGCAAGCAACAAGGCACACCTTTTGAGGCATCAAGTAAAGAGGTTTCGGACATTAAATTATTGAGTATGTTAATGTATCTACCATGTAGATGGTCTTCCAATGATCCTAATGGCATGTATTCATAAACCAAAAGTCTCTGATCTCCATCAGCACAATATCCAATCAAGTTAACCAAGTTTGGGTGATGAAGTAAGCTCAACATTAACACTTCAACAAGGAATTCTCTGTTTCCCTGCAAACCGTTGCGATCAAGTTGCTTGATTGCCACAATCTGCACAAACAAAATATCAGGATGAGGCATTACCACAAGCTTACTGTGTAGGGTTAAAATTCCACTTCCCAGTACCAGAATTACACCAAAGCCTAGCAGTGAAAATAACAATATGAAACTCCATAAAGAGGGAAATGAGACCACCAAAGGTTGAACATAATGAATATGCGCACAGTAAAATCAGTGACTCAGAGGAAAGAGGCCCCAAACTTTCCTTGTCCTAAGCCCGACAAAAAAAAGCTTCCTTTTCAAAAGGCCAACAAAAAACAAAAAGAAAAAAATACCTAGTACCAAGCCCCATAAAATATATCTTGTGCAAAGGCTGGGCCAAAAAACTTCCTTGTCCAAAATCCCCTAGTCGTAAAGACTAAAAAAACCCTCTTTGTCCAATGGCCCAACATAAAGAAAAATCATATTTGCGCAAATAGCCAAAGATCCTCAATCAAAAAGGCTGGAGGGAAAAAAAATCCTTATCCAAATAACCCATAAAAAAAAAAACTTATTAAAAAAAAAAAAAACCAATAGTAAAGCTTGTAAAATAATAAATCCCTTAGAATTTTAGTTACAAAAATTGAAGAGAAGAATGAATGTCGTATATTAAAAAAAAAAAATCCAGTAAATAAAAAAATTAATAAATGTTTATTTAAATACAAAAAAGCCTCCAATTGAAGTTGTCTTAAGCCTCGATGAGAGTTGGGTCAACCCTGACTTTCCTAACAATACCAACTAAGCCTATGTCTACAGGCACTTTCTATATGATTCTATTGTATCGTTCCTAAAATTATTTGTGACCATATTTTAAAAAGAAATTTCTACTTCGTCTCTGATCTCATAACAACAGACTGTCACCATCAGCAGCAGTCTTTTCATATGAGTACATCATATATTTAAGCACCATCTTTATTAAAACAAAATAAAGAGGTTCAGATTTCAAAAGAAAGTTATTTGCAGCATTCACCAAGATACCAGCACAACAAAGAAAAAGCATAAAAGTACGTCTGTTACTTGCCATTTATGAGTCACGATTTCTTTTAAAATTTGTAGAACTGAAAAACTAATGAACATAGCAAACCTGGTTGGTACTCTCCAATCGCCCTTTATATACTCTACCAAAGCCTCCTTCACCCAAAAGATAATCGGCCCTGAAATTCTTGGTTGCAGCTGCTAATTCATGAAATGTAAAAATGTGTGCTGCTATTTGACCAGATCCTCCATCCCTTGCAGCTTCCTTCTTTACATCCACCAATGGATTCACCTTCACATTTTCTGAAATGGGGAAGAAGAAAAAAAAGCACCCAGTAGTAAGTAATCAAAACTATCTGAAGTATGAACACGGATAATGACAAAAGCACATCAGCAATCTGAAAGGTGGTTTGCAACTTGCTTCTCTGAGTAGAGAATGTAGGACTACCAACCAACAACGTGAAAACTTATACAACAATCAAAGATTGCGAAAGACAAAATGAACAACTTTAGCTTGGATTCTTTTCCGATCATTCAGAAAAATACAAAATCTATCCTGCATTAATGGTACCAAGTGTTGCTTGCATGAACACCATTCATTATGGGTCATTTATGAACCAACAAAGGTAGTTATTAAAGTAGCCAAAATTCTAATGTACTCTTCCAGGCAATCTAATCTAAATCTAAATCAATAAGACAAAGTCCCTTTTAATTAACACTTGCACACTTTAAATGAGAACTAAAATAAATTTGAGTTTTAACTTAATAAACCCTTTTACGCAATCTAACCAAAATTAATAAGACAAGGTGCCCTCCATTTTACATTTACATGACAATACAACCAAAAGAAAATACAATTTGGCCAATCCTTCTCTTAAAATAACATTAAGGTTATAACTTAAATCATAAGTCAAATGAATTTTAGAGAAATGGAACCCGGGATGGTTAAATTTAGTTAATTTACATTCAAACAAGCCCATGAGTAACAACTATGATTTGAACCACAATTTTACAAAAAAATCCTCATAAAAACAATTGAGAATACCCACCAAAATCTTAAGAATTTTGCAAGATTTAAAATTCATTATAAAAAAAAACCCCCCATTTTAGAATAGCCAATAAGAAATCACGCACCAGTGGTAATTGGCTAAAAAGCATTTCATCAAAAACCTTCCGCCCAAAATAGAAGTAGATCACAAAAAAAATGCGAACTCACAAGAATGATTCGAACAATTAACCCCATGAAAAGTTCTCATCAATTTGAAACAAATCTCAAGATGAATAAAGGGGAAAATGCATAGAATTAACAAATGGGTGTATACGAAATTTTCAATTTTGTGAATTTGTGGGTTTGAAAGTACCTGAAGTTGATGGGATCTGATCATCAGACTTTTTAATCTGCTTCTTCTTCGCATTTTTCTTTGATTTGCCGGAGCAAATGAAGCAACCCATGATTTCTCTCTCTCTCAAAACCAGACCAGTGGAACAGTGACGCTATAGAGAGAGAGTGCGGGGCAAACTGAAGAATACCAGAGTCCAGGCACAACTTGGGAGAAACAGAAAAGAGAGAAAGAGAACAATGAATTCAGACAGAGAAGAATACGGCGTTAGAAGGCGAATTGCCCAAATTGAAGCGGAAAAACCAGCGCGTATAAATAGAAAAGGGTTGGAATGGAATCGGCTTATGGTGGTTTTGGTGGGTCAACCGTCAATCCACATATTGACAATACTGGTTTTGGTATTGTCTTGTTTCCCCTTTGAATTGTCCTAAACCATTCTATGTAAAAAATCACTAACATAGGATGGGAAATGTTCAAGACCCACAAATATCGTTTGTGAACGGATTCAGTTTGGTAAATATTTTTTGAATTTGATTAATTAAATATTTTTTTTATGTCCAACCTGTTAAATTTTTAATAAATAAATTTAAATATATTAAAATTTGACTCGTTTAATATTTATTATTTATATATTAATTAATATAAAAATATGTATAAAAATAAGATAAATATGTTATTTGTATATTTAAAAAATATAAATGAAAATAATAATTAATTATAAATAGTACATTTAGGCCATGTTTGATTCACAAGATTAAGATTGAGGTAATAATAATCCTATCAAATTAGTGTGGTATTCACTATCCAATTGGATTAATAGGATAAATTATTTATTAGATTAATAATCCCACCCCTACCCCATTACTAATAATGCTGCAAATTTGTTGGATTAATTATTCATTGGATTAATAATCCTAAATCAAAATGTTAAAACAAATATAGGATAATTGGGCCCACGGATTAATAATCCTAATCTCATGCTCTAATCCATCCAATCAAACATGCCCTTATATAATAGTGGTGGCAGATATTATTATTTTGATAAAATATTGACTCTTTTTTTTAAGTATGTTTATAGACTATTGTATATGTAATTATATAATCAAAATTTTAATTGTAACTTCAGTCTCGTACGCAAGTATGAATTTACAAATTTTTTGACTCATTAAGACTCGTGAACAAGCTCAAGCTCGAGTTAACCTTAAGCCAACTCGGTTCGGGTTCAAGCTCGAGCTCGAACTCGTTAAGATCTTAATAAACAAGCTCAAATATATTAAGGGTTGGTTTGGGATGTTCTAAAAAAGTGCACTTTTTGACTTATTGGCTTATATGGGTTGGGTTTGCGTTGGGTTTGATGTGATATATTAGAGAGGTGATGTGATTTAAATACGATGATGTGACTTAAATAGGATAGTGACTTTTTGACTTTTTATATTATTTAGTTTATGCCAAACCAACCCTAAATTCTGCTCGACTCAGTTCGTTTGTAACCCTATCCACTAAATACCTTCATAATTATATTCATAATAATGTTGTATTATATATGTTAATTTTTGATTTATTACACATCTAATGATATAGGCCCACTCTCACTTGTCACATCATTGTGGGTGGTTTGTGGGTATCTAGCATTACTTTTATCGGTCGTGATTCCGACCCCCAGCTGGGTGGGGTGACCCCCACCCCCAGTGCCACATGGCACTCTGCCAGTGGCTGAAACCCAAAAAAAAAAAAAATTTGTTTTTTTTAGCCAATCAAGAGTGAACCCCAGTACTCCCACTGGGGGTCTTAAGCTTTATTCTACTTTTATAGAAAATTTTATTATGCACACCTTTTGAAAAAGATGTACTATATACACTCTTAGTTATGTTTTTTATTTTTATTTTTAATTATGACTATTTTTTTTTTTTAACCAACTGCGCTTCAATTGTTCTAAACTTGACAATTTTGTACTAATTTTAACTTGGTTGGGCTCATCTTACATGAATCATCAACAATTAACCATGGAATCACCTCCTATAATTTTTCTCACAACTTATAAGGGGAAATCTGGTGTTCCCATTGCAAAAATTTGAAAAAGCTCACAAAAAAAAATTATATAACAATTTTTTAACAATTATCAAACACATTAACTATTTAAAATTATAAAAGCACAGAAAAATTTATTATCAAACCCCAAATCTTTAATATAAGGAAGTTTTGCCTTAAGACACAATTTCTTATTACTTGGTATTTCTATGTCTCTCTCTCTCTTTTATGGTGAAATATCTCTCTTGATTCATTTTGGGTTGTTTGAAATGAGCTATATAAGTGTACTTTTTGACTTTTTAATTAAAAAGTAGAGAAAAAATGATTGTTTGGGATAATTTTTTGACTTTTTACGAAAAAAATGTGTATTAAAATATTGTATGAAATACCAAAATTATTGAACTATCCTTCTGACATGCACATTTGCTTTCGTGCATGTCAGTGAATTGTGTCCATCACTGTTTAGTGCACTCTGTTTTTGTTTTTGTTTTTTTTTGTAAATTTTTTTTTCACCTATGCATGTCAGAGGAAGAGACAAAAGTAAGGGCAATTCTGTCTTTTTATCCTCTGATTTTAAGCCACAGTTTCTTGCCCAATATTTGTGAATAATATAAACTTTTTTTATTTTTTAGTAACTTTTTGACTTTTTATTTTTTTTAAATTATCCCAAACAAACACCTTTTATTCTCGATTTTTTAATACATATTCATGATATTGTGTCACAATCATATGCTTTTCAATCTTTATAGTAAAAATTATGAATTCACGCCCTATGTGAGCCGTTGAGAAGTGATCACTTTTTTTTCTTCTTTTTCTTTGAGTAGGCTAGTGTAATTGTTAACGAATTACTTTGAAATCTTCAAATCATGGAGACTTCTATGAGCTTTCCATTTCAAATAATTTGATACCACTTTGAAATCTTCAAACCCTCAAACCCTTAAAAAACTCGTTTTTGAATATAAAATTGAAATGGAAGTGCACCCAAGGCGGTCCAACCAAAGCATCGAAAGAGCTATTTTTTGTCAAATCTTGTACTACTTACTTATTATACACAATAAATAATATTTAATATCACATTAAGGTTTTATTTAGATGTGGTTTAAGATTAAAAAATATTTTTTAATAAAAAAATCTTAATTCATTTGGCAAAGTTATTACCCACCAAAAAAGTTGGTAATATGTCAAATAAATTAGTTTTTTAACATTAATTTTTTATATGTTTATTTTTAGCCAATAAGTTGATGTTTTAAATAGGGTCTTGTTACATGTTATTGCAAAAATTTGAAAATATTATATATTTTTTTATTACACATTATGATTCAATCTTCACTGTACTACGTGATAATGTGGGCTTAATTGTAAGGAAAATGCTATAGGCCCCAAATTTTCTACCAAATGAATGACCGCAAAGTTATTACCCACCCAAAAAGTTGGTAATATGTCAAATAAATTAGTTTTTTAACATTAATTTTTTATATGTTTATTTTTAGCCAATAAGTTGATGTTTTAAATAGGGTCTTGTTACATGTTATTACAAAAATTTGAAAATATTATATATTTTTTTATTACACATTATGATTTAATCTTCACTGTACTACGTGATAATGCGGGCTTAAATGTAAACTTTGAAATTATAAAAAATTACAACATTATAAACTTAGACAAAAAAAAAAAAAAAAACGACATTAGTCAAAATTAGCAAAATTTGAAGTTTTGCTATACTTGATGCTCTATGTAGAGTATAGCCAAATGTCAAATTTTGGCTCAGCGTTTGAATGATTCTTTTGCACATGAATGCCAAATTTTTCTTTAATATGAAATTTAACCCACTATTATAGATGCACTATTCATTTTTACCATAAAAAGCATATAATAGAAAAAACAATATAATTTGTGAACAATTATTTATTACAATGTGTGGCACACTATAATAAATTAGTTTACTTTAATATTGGATATTTGTAACGTGAGTGTTGGTTTTGTTTGAAATTCACACAAATATATGATGTTGATTAGAGGACAAAATTCACTTTGTTTATTGTGGTTATAATGAAGCTATGTGCATAAAATAATATATATATATATAGAAAATTAATATGTAATTCAAATTCAATTATTATATGATAAAACTCACATTTTTAAGTGAATATGAATCATATATTAAATATTATGAGTATTTTTATGTGTACAAATTTTATATAATTAGTATTTGTATCACAATATTTCATCTCTCTATGGTTTAAATATATACAAAGAGCTTTCATGTAGTTTTTGACTAAATCATAATTTTAAAAAGGGTTAATTATAAAAAAAAAAATCCCAAGTTTCTCATGCTTTTCAATTTAAACGTCAAAATTTTAATTTTGACATCTTGAACCTTGGAGTTTCATCCGTATTTCAATGTGAACCCTCCATTCATCTCTGTCTCACTTCACTTTTTCTTTCTTTCAGATTCAAACCCATATATTCAAGCTCTTGTATCTCCCTCGTCGTAACTCTGTTTCGCCTCATTTTTCGCATCGTTGGATTCACCTCATGGCTTATTTTTCATTCCACCACTCATACGTCTTGTTTTACCTCTTTTTGCGTGCCATTGGAGCTCCAAAATTTGACCAAAAGTAAAATTTTTCTTTTTGGGCAAAATTTTCAGATTAAAACCCACATATTCAAACTCTTGTATCTCCCTCATCGTAACTCTGTTTCCTCTCATTTTCATGTCGTTGAATTCACCTCATGGCCTAATTGTCATTCCACCCCTCATAAGTTTCATTTCATCTCTTTTTGCATGCCGTTGGAATTCTAAAAATTGGCCAAAATTAGATTTTTCTCTCTCTATTTTTTTTTTCTTGCTGCTATCACGACAATATTTTTGGCAGTGGAGATACAATGGATGATGCTTGTTTGGAAACCAAGGCGCCCTGACATGCTCACTAATCCATTGTTTTTTTATTTTTGTGGGTAGTTGTATATCTATCACCACTCGATAACATGGCCACCATTACCACCACTACCTCATCTTGCAAATAATGATGATGAAGCAGTAGTATTAGCAACAGCAAGCCAGGGAGAGTAGCCGCTGAGGAGAAGGAAGAAGAAAAAGAGAGCGCGCGCGAGAGAGAGAGAGAGAGATCATAAATTTGGCCAACTTTTGGTACTCCGATGGTATGCAAAAAAGAGGTGGAACAAGGCGTATGAGGGGTGAAATGAAAACTAGGCCATGAGATGAATTCAATGACGCAAAAATGAGGCGAAACAAAGTTATGACGAGGGAGATATAAGGGTTTAAACATGTGGATTTGAATATAAAAGAAGGAAGAAGATGAAGTGAGACAGAGATAAACGGAGGGTTCACATTGAAGCATGGATGAAATTCTAGAGTTTAAATTGAAAAACACACGAATCCTGGAATT